CACCCTTGAAACGATTAACAGTCAACTAACAGGTAGGGTTTGAAGTGTCATTCTAAAGGGGGTGCTGTTTCTCACCCATTTCCTGAGAATTCCTCCAGAGATCAGCCCTAGACCCTCTGCTATTTAACATTTTTATTGATAGCCTGGAAGGAGACATAACTCCATTAATAATAAAGTCTCACCCATCCTTAGCGAGGTGTGACATTTGTTCTAGGCATGACAAATTACCATCCTAAAAAGCCTATACTTCTCCAAGGCTTAGAGGCAGGCCAGAAAACTGGGTCAGACCAGAGGTTTAATTTTAGGTAGCTGATTGGGCTRGATGTATCTCAGACATTGAGCTGACACTTATGGTGAGCTGCACACACAAAAAATTGATTGATGTCTTTAGGGGAAAAGAAATGTGAYCATTATCCACTGGAGTGAAAAGCATGGGAAGACAAAGTGAAATTTTATATTTGGCAAAGATGGAATCAAACTAGAAGTGAGGCAGTGGTCAACCAGCAACTGGGGCAGTGCACTGAAGTTGTGATGGATTCTCCTCTCTGGAAAGTGTTTTGATCAATATTGTCTGTTCTCTAAAAGCTCCTGTGCAATCTGAGCATGCAAATTCGAGGCTGCTCAGTAGCCTGTGGCATGTATGTGTTAAAACGAAATTATCCCCTTCTGACCCTAAAATCCTGTGTGTCTTTTCTATGCTCCATCCGCATGCTATGAAGTTCTTGGTGTCAGAAGGGGTCTCCCTCTTCTGCACTTTAAACTGAAGAGATAAGAGCAACTGCTGGCTGTTTCTCGTGACCTGGCAAGCCAAGTCAACTCATGAAGAAGGCACCTTTCTGTCTAGTCATAGTCACTAGAAACAGAAATGACTGCATAAACACAACATCTTGACATTGCCCGTAGTATGATTTTCTGTCTGGCATTTTTGAGATGAAGTTGTACATGCTTTGCCTGGCAGATTGCTGTCTAAAAAGGGGAACTGGAGCCTCTGTCAAACTGTAGAGCAACAAGCACCCAGGCCAAAATCCAGTCTGGAGGCATGGTAGGAGGAAGCCAGGAATTTTACATTGAGGTTTAGAGCTCTGCTAATTGATTGCCTGGCCTTGTACTTCTTACTCAGCAAACAGGAATTGGCTCTAAGACTCCTCCAGTGAAGACACACTACRAGGATTTAGTGCAACTCTTCAAGAGAATTGTTGAGCCTTATTGGAGTTTCACTTAGCAAATCCCTTGCTAGTGCAAGAGAACACAGACTGAGCCACAGCTTGCACGAATCTTGCTTTCTTGTACTTGGTGCTTGTRACTTTCGTTCCTTTTTTCCACCACCAGCAGGTGTTTTCTTAAAGCCAGGCTGTTAGTTTCAAGATGTCAGAATGTGTCTGTGGCTGTTAGTGTCAAGATGTCTCCATARTCCCAGAGAGACACAGAGTACACATTTTCCCTCTAGAGAAGGCGACAGTTGTCTGTCCACTGAACACTAGGCTTGATGACCAGAAAGAGTCTATTATGCTCCAGCACTCTGGCGAGACCAGCCCCACCCCCCCTCCCCTCCCCTCCCCTTCCCAGGTCTGTCATTCCAAGCTGCAATCTGACTTTCCCCTGCCAGGGCAGTTGCCGAAGCAGCCCTTATCTCAGAGATACTCTGGTATGCTGCAGAATCAAATGTGTYGGGGGAATTCGATCAGCCAGAACAGCAGCCTTGYGTTGCTGGCTTGAACCTGTGTGTTMGGAGTGATTCATGCCCAGTGTTACAGAGACATGCAAGGAAACTGGCACCTGGTGRTTTACACGCAATAGAACCAGCCACACACATCTTTTGCTTCCCACTTCATGGTGAAATTCAATCTTCTTTCTGTGAGAACAAGCTTATGCATTCTTACTTTGTCATGGCCACTCCACTAGGCTATTCAGTAGGACAAATTCAGAACAGCAATAGCTGGCAACTAACTATTATATCTTGAACTTGCACAAAACCATAAGCTTTCACTGCAAAGAGGTGACTTTGTTTGCCCCTCAATCTGGTTTTGAAGTTCTCTTTCTCCTTCCTTTTATGCAAAGCTCTCCATCCCAGAAGGCAGGCAAGCAGCCAATCCACCTCTCTGCCCCACTCCAAGATAAATGCTAGATGCTAAAAAACACACCAAAGGGAAAGCATTGTGAAAGCATTTCTGAAAAGGGTTGCTGTTTTGATTTTTTTTTTCCTAATTTTGAGAGCTTTTGTGTGTTTTCCACAGTACACTCTACTTTGTTCTACTGGGGTTCCTATATTGTGGTTCAGCCAGAGCATCTGACAAGTCAGAGGACATCTGCCACACAGACAGACCTGCCACACTAGAAATGCCACCCCTTTCCTCTGCTACCACRCACCTTTCCTGTGCTACATTCCTCCTCTGATGGAAACAACATACCCTGGACTGATAAAACGAGCACTGTGTTGAGAGATTTGTCCAAAATACTGGATACCTCTGTGGTAGATCTGAAACACTGCTTGCTAGATCCATGTCCAGGGTGATGCAGACCTGGCACAGTCTGCACCCAAGAGCAGATTCTCAGCTGGAAAAAATCCCTTCACTGCGGCAGAGCTAAAATGATTTAGAGCAGCTGGGGATATAAGGGTACAGCACACAAAAAYGTGTGTGCACAAACTGGATGGTCTGCTCTCCCTCCACCATCCAGGGAGGATGCCATCCCGCTGGCAGTTATTCACTGAATACTTTTACTTTCTCTGAATGGATAAATCTCACCTCCCCATAACCAAAATTTTCACCATTATAAGAGGACTATATGGGAATTCCTGGGCTAGTTACTATTCTCACAGACATGCRGCCCAAAGAGCCACACTAGGAACATTAGTCTCTCAGCCAAGCAAGCACCATCCCCTTGCACAGCCAGGAAAAGATCTGGAGTCCTTCTAGAACAATTTGCTTCCCAAGGAAGKTTGGAGGCTAAGGTGCAGCACATGCAGTCAGGGGCAGGAGGTTTGTGCTCCACACAGCTTGTTGGAGCTCAGAGAGGCTCTTGCAYTGCTGATGTTACAGTTGCATCCATGGATGGTCAGTGTCTGGATGGCTCGAATCCAGGCTCCCTCATTAACAAAGCATGCAGGAACGCTGAAACTCCAGCTGTTGTGCCCAAATCCCACTGCCTGTTGCAGCGAAAGACAGATGATTGCTCACAAAAGGGCAAGTGTGAGTGGCTGGCCACAGGGATCTGTTCTCCCCAGTCCATCAAATATTTCCATGTGTTCCATTCCAAAATATTGATGTGCTGAGCCTTGGGAGCTTTATATTTAGCAAGAAACATAAATCACAGATGCAGGGGGCAGCTCCTGTAATGCTCCCTGGCTTATCAACTGTGCTACTAATAGCTCAGAGAAGCTTGTAAACTGGGCTGTGAACACCACAGTGCAAGCAGGGGGAAAAAAAATCCATGTACCTCTGGCACAGGCTGGGAAGAGTTTCCTGGTGACAGGTCCTCTGGTCCCCATCAGGAGCCTCCTGGAAAGGCTCCCAGGAAGCTGTAAAGTGTCRGAAGAAAAAATGGGACCCTGGTGATTCAGAAAGTTGAGTGTGACACTGGTGCATGGATTTCCCTGGATTTGCAGTGAGGATCTGTGTCTAGGCTCCCTGTCACTGATGTGTTCAAAGGTGAGCTGTTGAGCAGAAGAGCACGGTAGCTGTAGGGGGTGAAAGGCAGTGAACAGGTCTCCTGGCATTATTTCACTTTTGCTGGAGTCTCAACAGATGCACAGGAGTGCTAAGGCACCCCACAGGTGYACAGAGGTTTGCAACACAATTTTAGAGACCACAGCACAAGTCCTAMGGCAGAATGTGATAAATAAGTCAGAGGTCTCTTCCTTCTTTTTCTTTCCTCTTGTTTTTGTTTGTTTTCTCAACTAAGAAGCCTCACACAAGTCATATTCTTTTATTGGGAAGCATTTTGGGTAAATAGCCCTTGAGCTAAGGAACAATTATGTGAACTGCGTCAGCCTTGCCATGGTTGAGAAGGTCAGCAGCCTTCCCAGCACATTCAGAAGTGATGCACTGATATGCTTTYTCAAGGAAGGTTTGTGGTATCCCTTTTTCTAATTCTTTGTTCTATGCCCCTGAATAATTCAGTGTTTAWATTAATAATAATATTGTGCATTCCTTTAGTTCCATTTATCTARGAACCAAGAATTAGTTTACCAACATCAAAGCATCTCTTGTGTATTGGAATTTGACATTCACCGATTTTTGTAAAACCAACATTCTGACATATCTTCCCTCTTGAAGTTTGTCCTGGACTTAGAATTCTTTTCAGCAGAATCCAAGAATGGCTTTCCTGCTTTCCTTTTGAGTTCACAGCAAAATTTGTCAAAAGGGAGGAAGTGTGCATCCAAAACAACACCAATAATACACATGAGGTCCTGCTAAATGCAAGAAGTGAACAACCCAAATGCGATAACCAAATACTTGCTTATCCACAAAGCTTCTTCACGAGGAGCCAGATGATAATTTTAGCAATAGGAGGTAGTGGGGTTTGGGCAGATGGGATCTGTGAGCTGGCATGTCTCTCCAGGACTTCATGGTGACCCCATGCTGAGCAGCACTCGCATCGCTGAAGGAAGCACAGCAGTATCCAGCCTGAGTGTTTGCCTGCTGGGCTGGCTTCACAGGAGCTGCGCTGCGGGGATACAGTGTCATGGTGTTATAGCATTCAATTATCTCAGATTTAACCATAGGCTCAGTTCTCTCMAAGTCCTTTGTGAAAACTGGTTTTCTGTAATTTCCCAAGTCTCTGGAATTTTCCTGATTTGTCCCTCTTGCCTAATCTCTGTTTCACCCCGAAGTCCAGCCAGCACCAGCAGTGGAGCTTTTCTAGGTACTAATACATTAAGTGTTGTTTTGCAACTGAGTGTAATAATCCTGAACCTGAGAAAACTTGCCTGTGGTCTGCTATAAAAAAAGGTTTTGTCAAGCCCATTTTCCTTTGTTCCTTTAATTGTGCCCAGTCCTTACCTTATTTTCGAGCTGGTTACCCACACAGAAGCAGCATCCACGCACATGTGTGGGGCATGGCTTCTTTGTGGCATGCCCAAATCTCACACTGCTGGAGGGCTGACAGGACTGCACACTCTGGATACCCTTCTATTGTGCAATGGTATTTCGTTCCATTTACTTTCCGTGAACTCTGCTAACATTGTGCAGGGCTGTGTTTGTGCTCCTGTGTCTATTTTAAAATGACACACCTTGTGGACTTCTGTCATTCAGAATTTTACAAATATTTCACTCTTTTTGAGACATGTTGACTGCYGAAACTAACAACTTTGTCATGGTTTTCTCTTTCTCTGTTGCCTCTGGCAGAGCTTATTGAACTCCTTCTGTGGGAATTAACCTCTACTTCCAAAACTGTCCTCATACAGATCTAGAAAAACATTTACCAGACACATATGATCTTGTGAAACTCGCTGTTCTAATCCTTCTTTGCTGTAGCCATGATTTTGCCAATTATTCTTTCCCACAGCCACCAGGTTTCCTGGATATTATAATCTCAGCCCGTTAGGCAGGGTTTCTTATCTGTATTATTTCTGTGAGAGGAACCTTAGGAGTTTGGACCCTGTGGTGCTGAGACCTGCATAAAAACCATCTGAAATAGTAGTTCCCTGATCCAGGTCAGCTAAGAAATCTATTTTTTTTTTTTTTTTTTTTTTTTGGCTCATGCTATGCTTTAATGCCTTGAAAGCACTTTAAAAAATAAATGAGTGTGACCCGACCAAAAGCTTCCACTAGAGGCATTTCTCTGGGAATCTCCCATCTCTTTATTTATTAGAGATCACAATTTCATACTCCTGAATGTCTTGGGGCTGTCAGAAGAAGAGCCTGTCATTCACAGCCTAACAAAARGAAGCAAATGCCTCACCTAGCCTGTCTGAAATAATATTCTGGGTTTACAAGCATTTACCAGGACCATCATGTCATGGATAAGGTTATCCTTTGTTTATTGAGGCTTATTTCCTGGGAATTGATGCTCCTGCCACACACAAACATAAAAAAAACCACAGTTCAGGCACTCAAAAATGTAAGTGTGGGCAGAAATAGTAAGATTTCAAAAACATGTTTGAAAGAGAAGAATTTTTTTGGTTCTAATGTGGATATCAAGCATTCAGGCATATCAACTTCAAATCTTCTGAAGCTTCAAACACCAGAAACATGCATTTAAGTTGCCATAACCTCATGATTTACCAAAATCATAGCCCAATAATACACCATTGCTTTTTGATGGTGTAAAAGGAGCTACTGGAGGGATGGAAGAGGGTTCTGTCAGACTCAGGTAAGATGCATTCAACAAAGTTGATAATAGCCCAGACTCTCTGCAGACAAAATCTCTCCTGAGGGATGAGGGAAGGGAAGTGGAACAAGTCCTTGCAGCCCCGGAGCAGGTAGCAAGGCAGAAGGATTTCTTCTGATTCCTGCTCACACTGATGTAGCTGGAGCTCTGTGGTCACGTTACATTCCCGASAGAGCGGTATCTTATTTCAAATGCTCTGAGACAAAAGAAAGAGTGGTCACTGGGCACAGTCGCCAGGGGTCCTGCATGATGTTTAAAAGGACAGRGCTGACCCCACAACTTCATGAAGGACCACACCAGGGCACAGAGGAGCCCACAAGAAGGGCACAAAAGGAAGCCCTTGGAGAGGGGAAGTGGAGGATAAGATGAGGCCAGGTTGCCCAATCCCAACCCCTCACTGGCTCACCACTCTGAATTCTGCATTGGGCAGCACCTGGACCCCAGGTTGAAGGCCTTGCTGGGCATTGAATGGCCAGAGGCACTGCATGGAATATTAAGCATCATGTAGGCACGTGATTCCAAGTTGCTGGCAGCTTCCCAGAAGAGTCATATTCTCATTGCATTCCTTGGATGTCTCCCAGCCACTGGCTTGAGAAAGTCATGAACCTTAGTATGCTTCATTGTTCTGGCAGTGTGTCTCAGTCCAGAGGGTGTCTCGTGATCTCGGCTGACCATCGCCTCTGCRCTGGCACAGGTCACCCCAGAAACAGCTGAGCTGATCAGTCGCTCTCTGTGGCAGGCACGGGTCCCTCACACCCTCCACCAGGAGCCAGAACTGTGACCAGACAGGTATCTCAAGCCACTGCCTGTCATTATCACTGCCACTAACACCTCCTTGCAGGAGTGAGGAGAGGGGCGTGGGMGATCTAACGGGGTTTGAGCCACACTATAAGAGTTCAGAGAGTGGATCTTGGGGAACTTGAACCACAGGAACACCCTAGCAGGAGCAGGCCAATGGCAAATCACCCTCTCCTCAGGGAGAGCAGTGTTTACTCCCCTTGTTGCCTCTGGTCCTGCACCGTGAAATGCWCGAGGTGTCTGGGTACCATGGCAATGGCAGTGACAATACAGCCAAGACATGATTTCTGCTCTTTGGCTCCCCTGCCAGYGGTGCTGGCCTAGTAATGTGGACCCATCAGCCAGAATGCTTTTTAGGGTCTGTCTCCAACTCAAAGCCACAAGTGCTCTTTGTAGCCCGTGGCTCTGCCACACAACAGTCCACACGCTTTTTCTCCCTGGGAATCTGGGCTGCTGTTGTATCCAAGATCCTTCCCCAGATGCCTTGCCAGCATTCACACCCTTATGCCAGAGYGCTTATTCAAACAGGAAATAATCAAGCACGGGTCCCGGGCTGCTGCTGAGGTGAAAACCTGCTGCTCTGCAGATAGGGCCTGAGGGTTTCCCTTAACTCAGCTGCACAGGAGCAAAACATCTGATCCACTCATTTTTCCTCCTCCTTCCCCCTGGTTCTGAACACAAGTCCTGKTTCTTTAATCAGATCAAATAGGCCAGGGCAATTTGGCACTCTGTGCTAGGGGAATATCTCTGAGGATGGGTTAAAGGAAGCARAACACACAAGTCCAGTCCCAAAACKGGCAGCAGAGCTGAGGGATGAGTGTGGCCAGCATCTCACCAGGCTTGAGCAGGAGCCAGGCAGTGATGCTGTAACTCCCACCTGAAGATTGCTTCCGGAGAGCAAGTCCAGGTCCAAGGTAGGTGGACAATTCCCTGTGCTCAACAGGGACTGCACAGGGGGTGTGAGGGYAATCTGTCACCTGCCTGTCCTGTGGGTGTGCTGCAGCAGGCAAAGTACCATGTGCTGTGACATGGTSAGAGACTGGATGGACACATCCTGCCATTGGTCACATCTGACAGGCAGGGAAATGCTGAGCCCAGAACAAACACTGAAAAAGAATGGGAGAAGGGAGTTCTATTTGCCTGAAGGATGGAGAGGAGGAAATGAGGACAGCAGCAGTGAAAATATGAAAGAGGATGACACCATGAGCYATTGTGGAGATAATGTCATCCTCAAACCTGACAGTGTCTGTGGCTGCTGCCATGAAATACCACCTCCCACAGCTCAGGGAAGAGGAAAGAGGTATGTTAGAAATTCCTACAGTGAATACATGGGCCTGATGGAGAAGGGAAGGAAGGTGTTCTCAGACAACACAAGATTTACAGACATATGCATCAAGATTGGCTAACAGACAGATCTTTGGATGAGGAGGGTGAAGGATACCTGAAGAGGAGACTGAGGAAAACACCAGCCAATGGAGGAAGGAGAATAGGTTTCCGAGAGGGAAGGTGGATACTGAGGACTTGATCAGCTGCTCACACAAGAACAGAAGCAATGGAAACAGAAAGGGACACAAACCCTCTGGTGCTGTGAACACCAGAGCCAGGTAAGAACCGGATGATTTGGGTTGGGAAGATGGACAACTTTTAGCTCTTCATCATTTCCTGTTATCTAGCAGTTTTATTTGTACTGACTTGGGTTAGGAAATCAGGAAATGCTTCTGTTTTTCAAGCATTATTGCATTTTTATGGGTTATTATTCAGATGACTGTAGGCTTCCATGTGTCTGATACTATTAATCCCYTCATAAACTTTGTGAAACAGGATAAGGTTCACTGACATTCAGACTACAGGGGGTAGCAGAGATTTCTCTCTTGCTTCTTTTTTAATGTACAATAAGTAGAYGTTACATTCATAACAGGAATGGAAAACCCCAGAATCAGAGAATCTCAGAATATGCCGAGTTGGAAGGGWCCCACAAGGATCATTSAGTCCAACTCCCAGGCCTGCAAAGGACCATCCACAAGAACCACACCATGTGCTTCAGAGTGTCATCCAAAAGTTTCCTGACCTCTGTCAGGCTTGGCGCAGTGACCACTTCCCTGGGGAGCTGTTCCAGTGCCCAATCACTCTCTGGGTGAAGAACCTTTTCCTAATATCCACCTTAAAACTCCCTRACACAGCTTCAGGCCATTCCCTCAGGTCCTGTCACTGGTCACCACAGAGAAGAGATCAGTGTCTGCCCTTTCTCTTCCCCTCACAAGGAGGTTGTAGCTGCAATGAGGTCTCCCCTCAGTCTCCTTTCTTCGAGGCTGAGCAGATCAAGTGACCTCAGCYTCTCCTCACACAGCTTCCCCTCAAGGCCCTTCACCATCTTTATTGAATGCTCTCTGATTGTTAAGTATCTTCCTCCTATTGTGGCACCCAAAACTGCACATGAGACTCAAGATGAGGCTGCCCAAGCCCAGAGCAGAGCAGGGAAATGTCCTCTTTTGCCCAGCTGGTGATGCTGTGCCTGATGTGCCCCAGAACTATCCAGGACACCTGCAGAAAGCAGATTCATTTWAATTTTATCAAACTGTTTAATACAAAATGAAACTCATAGATATTGATGATAAATATTTCAAGATAATTCCCCATCTTAAATGAAATTACTGATACATCATGTTGAAGAGCCCCTAAGCTGTCTTCAAAGATGTGCAGGAAGTGAGAGACTAGCATCTTCCATTTCCTGAAATACATGGACTGGAMAAGTATAAGGTTCAAAATCTGTCCCTTTCATGCAGTAAAATGGAKATTGAGACAGAAGAAACAAAACAGCAAGTAGCCAACAAGCCAATCTGCAAGCACAAGGAGAGTTAAGACCAGTTATTAAATACAKAACAGGACAATCTTGATTAAGGACTTTCATCACAAAGCCACTTATTCTATAATTCGAGTAACAATAAATCATGTGACACCTGAGATAGGGAGGAGACACAGGGAAGATGTT